TAGTAAGTACATTTCAGACATGTACATGATTTAAACATTGTAATTCTTTGATAGTCTATTATAGAAAAGGAATATTGTATAGTTGCCTGTGAATTAGTTTTAGAAAAAAAAGCAATTACGGCACTGGACAATGATTTTGTAGTATGCCGTAATGATGTATTGCTGTATTGCCGTAACGCCATATTGGCGATGAACTTACAATATTAGGTGTTGTCAATGAAAAATTATACTTCAGCTTGTAGGTTAGTTTTTTGTTGAACACTATTGCTATAACATTTGATATACTTTAGTCTAATAAATTATAAACTTTGAGGCCCGAAGGTAGGTATGTTTTGGCAGTGCTTACTTTCAAAATTTAATTGCAAAGTTCATAATAATATGTCAAATATATTTTGATCTATTAACAAAATTCATTTTGGCCGAGTTTTTTGAATTACTCAAATTCGGCATAGTGCATACTAGCTTTACCACAAGAAATTCAGCACGAGATATACATATATATTCAGTTAGAACAAAATATTTAATATTCTCGAATGATCAACTAAAAATCGATATTATTTGTTATATCGACAGTTAGTCTGTATTACGTAAGTGGGAAAAATAGTCAACGCATAATAATATATGAGAGCTGCACAGGGAAAACCTGTAAGTAAAATTTTATTCGTTAATCACTATGCAGATCTTAATAATTTGGCACTGGGGCGTGACCAATCATAGGGAATGAATCTTCCCCAGTATCGCCGTCAAAATTTTCACTTTCACGTGACCGCGTTTAAAAATCTTTAAATTCGTTTAAGTTAGGGTTAGCGTTTATAATAGGGCTAGGTTTTAGAGAAGTAATAGTAAAATCACTCGAGGAATTTTTTTGTTAGAGCTCAAAAGGTGGTTTCTTATGCAAGTTTTTGAGGAATAAGCGATTTTTGAATAGCGAACGTTTTGTTTTGATCTTCCTGATCGTGTAACGTTACATTAAAACGAAACACACTATTAGATGATCATCACGTGAAAGTGAAAATTTGACGGCGATCGGGAATGACGAATAAATATGTATTACTTAAACTATATAATAAATGATTACGTATTTGTCATACATAATGATTGATCACGCCCAGTGCCAAATAATTAAGATCGGCATAGGATTAACGAATAAAATTTTACTTACAGGTTTTCCCTGTGCAGCTCTCATATGATCAACAGTGTCATGCGGACCAATTAAATGCCCAGAATCACACAGACACATTTGAAATGCCTGTAAACCATACACTACGTTGTACGTTGTACAAACTCCGTTCCTGGTATTTTCGATCATCCGACTTCAAATTATCGTGTGTTGACCAGTAATTTGTGCTCTTATCGGGTTGACCCGAGTGACCCGAAACCAACCCGGTCATAAATTTATTAGATGGGTCATGACCCATATAGTAAATTCATTATAACCGGGTTGGTTTCGGGTCATTCGGGTCAACCCGATCGGATCACTAATTATAACTGATAATTCTACACTACCAAACGATTGTTCACCAACAATTATAGCTGCTCTCATAAAAATTGATCGACTGAATCCGATAACACCAAATTCAAAAATTTACGAATTCAGCCGATCAAATGTTTATCATTCGTCCCAAAATTTATGAGAACAGCTGTAATTCACCGGTAGTTTATTTCACCGAAATTTATTTTGTAGATCCTAAACGACATAGGAATTATTTCATAACTAAACATAGTAAAACTTTATTACATTGTTAATTAAGTAATCACTTACCCAAATATCATTTATTTCGCCTTTAATGCTGTAATGTAGCAAATATTATCAATTTTCAAACTAATAATTTGAAAGAACGAATTTATAAAAATCAGGTGACTGGTTTTTTTTTTATAAAAGACAATGATTTCACTCTACTCTGAAGTCAAAAACAAAAAGTTAAAAAATAAAAAATAATCTAATAATTACATACAAAAATTCTTATAGAACAAAAAAAATAATAATCATGATCCGAAAACTTGCCTTGTTATTTGTTTTTTTGGCCACACTTTCCATGGTCTATGCTTTTCCATATCATTTGAATAAGAGGGCTGCTAATTTTGGACAATGTCAAGGGCTTCCACCATCATCAAAGGCCACAGTAATCAGTAATGTAACACTTAGCCCTGATCCTCCAAAAGCTGGTTCTAATCTCGAAGTTAAAGGTTCAGCAACGACCGAAACTAATATTGATAAAGACGATTTATTCTTTTTTGTAATGTTTGATACAAACAATAACGCTCTATTCGTCCCCGAACCTTTTAATATTTGCGCGAAAACTGAATGTCCAACAACAACGTTTAACTTTGATGAAAACTATGATTTATCAACCGTACCATCGTTACCAGAAGATTTCTTAGTTGCAATTGTAATTGCACCTAATTTAACTGATCCATTAGCAGCAAAAGCTTGTGGAGAAGCTTTGTTCCCAGAACAATAATTTAATCTCAGTATTTTAAAGAAAATATTTATAATTCCTATTTCTTTTCTTAAACTTATTTAATCAATTTCATATCGTAGTTTGTCTTATTATTTGAAAATAATGTGTCATTACAATGTATAAAATAGTCTTTTAGTAGTTGCTATACATTTTTTCTGAGAAATATTTGATTTTCTATCGCAATTTTTTTTTATTTTTGCTAAGAATATTTTATATAACATCCTTAGTTATCTATTTACATAGTAATTTTCTAAATTTTCACATTACAAACTATTATTTCAAAATAGAAGTAACAGTCCCAGCGTTAACACCACCAATCAAGGGAGCAGTCACATAATATTTCAACTTTAAAATTCGATTCCAAATTTTTTTTAAATTTTATTATTCGTGCTTTTTTATTATTATTTTTTGAATATGCCGCAAAATAATGCCTAGATCGTTATTTGGAAACACAATTTTCAGAGAACCAAGAATTGATTTTGCAAAGATATTTAAAATTAATTTTAATTCTCCGGAAATTGTTCGCTTAAAAACAACGCCCGGGATAATTTTGCAACAATATGATAAAGCTCTTTTTAAAGGGAAGGATTTCTTAATTATTATATAAGTGATAAATCCGCTACCATTAACCAGAATAAAAAATTAGACATATAGACTTAATTACTAAATAATAATCGCGAACAGATTTAAAATGAATTATAAAACTTTAATTAAATTGTAGGTAGGTTAGTCATGGCAGAAAATGTCGCGGTAACGTGATCGCCAACTACTTCTGACCTGATAATATAAATTACGTTTATCTATCTTCTATCTTTATTATTAAAAAAAATTGGATTGTTTCACAAAATCCGGACATTGCATAATCGTGTACATTCGTATTTCAGTTATTTTGCAAATCCATTGATAATCTAAAATATGACCCGTGCCGAAAATCTCATTTTTTTAATACAGGTCCAACAATTTTGAATATATGGTCCCTACGGGTCTCTGCAAAATAACGGCCATTGCAATACTAGTCTTTAAAAAATTCGACTTCTGCACAGTAGTCTGACATTGCGTATTAGTGTAACATTCGTGTTTCAGGAGAAACCATCAATGATACATAATAATCCTTTACACGATGTAGTTAATCAATAAGTAGCCGCGCAACGTTGTCGCGCGAAACCAGGAACGGGAGAAATTTACGCATACACCATTTCGGTTACGGGAAACCAAATTCTTCATTGCAATCCATTCCTGGTATAAGAAAATGACTCTTTATAAAAGAAGTTAATAGCACTTGTAATCTGAATATTGGTTTGAATTTCAGTGACTGAGCCCAAAAAACTATTAATGAAGTCAATGTCTGACTGCTATATGAATCTGACCCAAAATTTTGGGGCCCGGCAAAAAACATTAACGTTAAAATCTACAAAACATGTCTACGTATTTAGAAATGATCGACAAATTCTTTCGATTAAGTCTTTGACGATCAATAATTATCATTTTATCTGCCCGATAAAAAATTCGATGAAAAAAAATAAAATTACAAAATATTGAGCATTGAGGCCTTTAAATTTCTTGGGTCACTAATTTTTGTACCAAAAAAATTATTTTTACTATGCATTTTTGGTTTTACAGATGTATGTGCTCATTTATAAGTTTTTTTATTTTTACTAAACCATGAATAAGTCACGCGGACCAATCAATTCCAAGACTTTGCTTACAGAGACATTCGTTACTGGTACCTACCTTTTAAAGTATTGTTCGGGGTGCTACACAAGGTCACGATTTAAGTGAACAATACAGTATGTATTTCATACTCCATTCCTGGTATAATAAAATTATTTATTTTGGGTTTACTCTAAAATGTATGTTGTGGATATAATCCCTCGAAAATGTTTTATTTATGATCTAATATGAATAAATTATAAACTATTAACATTATAAATTTTGTTTCAAATTAACAAGTTTAAAAGTTACGCAGAATTTAAATTAATAGGTAATAATCTTGAAGTGTATGAACTAACCCAAGACACAACTAATAACGAATATTTGATAGTATTTCAATATGCAAATAGAGGAAGCCTTCATATACTTCGTGATTTCATCACTCCGTTCCTGGTATGTCCTATCTTTAAATTTTAGAGATCTTAATTGGAAAGTAAATTAAACCAGCTTGTCGATATTTCTAATAATTTAGCGAATGTACACAAAGTAGAATATGTTTATATTTGAATTTTTTCTTTAACATATTTATTTTCACTCATCACAATTTAAGTTTTCTTCGGATTCCATGTTTATTTTTCCCATTACCTGGTCATATCAATATCCAAAAATCCTTTCAAATAAAGTTCCAAAGATTTTTTATCAAAAAAAGCCTCAAACAATGAATAACATTATGAAGGAAGAAAATAAGAACGATATTGATGCCTGCCTTATGCTCGCAGAGCGTATAATTTTAATAAGGTAGCTGCACCAAGAACGAAAGCAAATATAGTAGTTAACAAATAGTTCAAGTAACGTACAAACAAGAACTGATCTAGCATCTCATTAATATATTGCGAAGAATTTGATATACACTATAGGTAATCGACTCGCATTAGCTAATCAAACAAAAGTTTTACAAGACATAATGTAATAAATTATATGGGAATCCGTGATTTGCCCATCACTACACTGACTGTTTTTGATGTTTAGTTTATTCAGGATGGGATTAGGATTATAGACATAACATTTTTGAAATAATAGTTTAGTAAATGTGAAAATTTAGAACAAGATAACAATATAATTTATTAAAAATATATTAAGTCATTAAAAATTACTATGTAAATAGATAACTAAGGATGTTATATAAAATATTCTTAGCAAAAAATAAAAAAAAATTGCGATTGAAAATCAAATATTTCTCAGAAAAAAGTATAGCAACTACTAAAAGACTATTTTATACATTGTAATGACATTATTTTCAAAATCATGCAAATAATAAGATAAACTGCGATACGAAATTGTAATTTTTTATCTATTAACCATTGATTAAATAAGTTTAAGAAAAGAAATAGGAATTATAAATATTTTCTTTAAAATACTGAGATTAAATTATTGTTC